GCAATCTGGACTTGCAACCGCCTCCACTGAACCACCAGAAATAAACACCGGCGCAGCACGTACCACTACCGACCTGGATGTGCAAAGTGATACCAGTAGCGGATTAAGTTTAGATTCCTGGGAGACAGAATTCTCCATTATGTGGCACACTAGACTGCCATAAGCCAAACAAGATAACAACTGTCTCAGTACCTGTTGGGTGCGTGCCCTTCGCTAAGCACATATTGCACACAACCAGCTAACGCCAAGATAGGTGGCACATTTCTGGCTGCGACTGCAACAGCCGCTAGCCCATATACCACAGACGCAAGACATTGTCAAACAGTAAAAGTGGTATCACCTGCCGTAACACACAGGAAAAGAATACCGGGTAGACTAGAGAAGGAATAATGCGATCATTTCCAAATCATCGTATTCTATGCCTTTCTTAAGCAGCATACGCATTTGATCACGTTTAGTGTGCAACCGCCTTTCGAATTTGTGCTCATTTGCTCTCTCTTGCTGTTTCGCAGCCCCCAGTACTGGTCCGCGTGTCCAGTTATCCGCGATCTGGTGAATCTTGCGTATCCTCCGATAGTTCGTATTGCCTTCATATTCACGAAATATCTGGGCAGCTGCTTGTGCGAGAGCTCCAGTTCTAAATGGTTTTCCATTGTATGGAATTTGGTGTTTGGCAGTGGAGGGAGTGGCTGTGAAGGCGTCATCTTCTCCAAAGTGTTGAAGAAAGCGCTCAAAGTAATATCGGGCCTCCAAGTTGCATATGTTACGTTTCTCCTCTACCAAAATCAGCTGTGAGAGTTTGTCAGCTACTTTTGCATCTATTGGCTGTGAGGGTTCACTGCCAACCATCCCCAGTGCATCCAAGAACTCATCCGCCTCCGCTGATTTAGAAATGCTGGAGGTCTCTTCACGGTCAGGAATACGATCACGCCCTTCGTAGACAGGGAGCCCAAGTGGACCTGCTGTGCCCTCTTTCAAAGAGGCTGACCACTTTAATTCCTCCAGGCGCAGCGTGACTGTGCGGCAAATGCTTAGCAGCAGCTGCAGGTGTTTCAAGAAATCACTCCGCACCTTCGCGGAAGAATCAAATGGGAATTCACATTCTCGCATCTTCGCCACGTGGTCATTGATGGTAGCTAACGGGTCTTCAGTGGGCGCTTGACCGTCGTTGAGCGACGGCGTGAAATGTTTTCGAAAATCTTCTCGCACAGATTTCCCAGAAGACAACCAGGCCATGTTCATCTCGTCCTCTGCATCGTTGAGCTCATCCAAGTACTTCTGTATGATGTGATCATAGAGAGACAGCGAAGCCCATTCAATATGGGAGCTTATCCCGGGGGAGCTCAAATTCATGTTGCTGCGCCTGCTAGACACCCGGAAAAGAACAGCAGACAGGAGTAGCAGTGAAAAGACGACAAGCAATGGCTTAGTGACCCCAACCTGCTTCCCAATAAACTTCCGCAAAACGAAAACCCCTTCTTCTGGAGCAGTTTGGTTGGTATTTTCTATGTTTTGTTTACCGGAGGGATGGATTGCGTCACCTGCCCCTTGCTCAGGGCTCAACCAATCTAACCAGGTACGAACTGCTCCCTTCCCCTGGACCGCCATTATCTACTGCGAAAATAAACGCATGGCGGATAATCATATATTCGCTTTGTGTTTGGCAGCTGAGCAAAATTCTTGAGAAAAAGACTAGGAGGATATCCAGAGAAACAGAGCGATACGGATCTGGCTGTGGTCGGGGAGGTGACGATGATGTTCAAGAAAATTCCCGCTTTGAAATTAATTTAAATAACGGATACTAAATTATAAACTGCGTCCGTGTGTAAGCACTGTAATGCATGCAACCACTGTTCATGGGAGGATACCGCTCCTCT